GTTATTTCACTCCGACAAGAAGTAAATTACAATTTGAATTCACATTTTAGACTTCTTCAGAGACTATAATATACTCAAATTCTAATATGTGAATCTTCCTTGAAATTTAAGTAACAGGAAAACAAATCTAAAGGTCACATCCAACTTTAAACAACAGCAATCTATAAAAGCAATACTCAATTGAAGGATTCAAACAACAACAGAAGATACTAGTGAAACAAAAGAACCTGGCTAATTCCTGGTAGTGCATCATAATGGGTCATGACCTATATTACCCCTCCTACACAGTATTCTCATAGTTGGAGAATAATTATTACCAAGTGGCATGGAATCATCTGTGTTCAAGTTCCTGTAAGATTATTAACTAGGCCTGAATATTCTATTTTTAAATTCAAAGAAAAACAAACCTAAGGAATGAAAAATAAGCTGCTACCTTCAATTCACATTAGAGAAAGAGTGAGCAAAAGCCCAAGGGACTGAAGAGGACCAAACTTTCAGAAGTTTCATCCCAAGCAGAAAGATCACTAATTAAGAACAAAACACAATGGTAAAACCAGTCTGTTAGCCCTGGGCCTTCAATGGAACTAAGCATACCTTATTTCATAAAGTAGTAACAGTTATGAGTTTGATTAATCCTATTATAGCAAATGCACCAATCAAGGAAAAACCTGGGCTGGAAACCAGAATGTCCAATTCCTCTGCTGAAAACAACTTTCAACATGGCCTGGGACAGGCCACTCTGTTATTCTAAAAATGCTCAGACATACAAATATGTAATGTTCCAAATACTTTTTTTTTTTTGCCACTTCCTGTGAGTAAAAAGTTTGACTGGGAAAAGAACAAAATAAAGTCACAAAGCGAGAAAACAGGAATACCGCTGACACATCTTCCCCAAAAGAGTAACTTTTTTTTTAAATTTAAAGAGAGCATATAAAGTCAGTTTTAATCTAGCCTACTCTTTCCACAATGGACACACCTAATAGCTTACCAAAATTCACACAAGCAGTTTTAAAGCCCAGCTAACTCAGTTCTGAATTTCAACAAGCATTAGTACACCAGGCACTTCTATCCCTAGAAATTCCAAAGATAGGTTAAAACGTACCCTGTTGTTACAGTTCATATCAACGGCCCCATAACCCGGATTTCTCCTGGATATACAGATACATAGATCTGCCAAGCAAAACCTCCCCTACTCCTCCACCCTGCACACGTGGGCATTTTCACTTTATAGGTGGGTCCTGTAACAGCTAAAACCAGGAAGCTCCAGGGTAATTAGAGGACTTGGTGGAAGTCATCTTGGGAGAGTTCTAAGACCCAGAGAAATCGGAGGAAGTCAGAAAAAGGTTTCCCTGATCACCTCTCCTTCCTGCCCCATCCAAACTTCACCCACCAGGGTCTCAGAAGCCCGGGAGGGGGAGGCCATTTTAACGAGGCTTGGCTGAGGAACATGAAGGGAGGGGAAGAGAGGAAATCAGGGAAGGGCGATCGGAAAGGAAGGCCGGACCTTTTTCCCCCAATAGCAGCCGGGTCGGGTGGCAGCACCTGGAGCTCAGAGGAGGAGCTGGATTCAAGCGTCTGGGAAGGGTACAAAAGTAGCAGTGGCCTACCACAAGAGGTTCGAGTGGTCAGAGCCCCGGGAGTGGGGCCCCTTACCCCAAAGAGGGGGAAGTACCCCTTCTTGGGCCAACCGCGTAGACCCTCGCCGCTGGGACGGGGGTACTACCCAGAGGTCCAGAAGGCGGGAGTTGGCTACTGACTGGTTCTCCTCATCCGGCCATGCGGCGCGGGGGCGGCCATCCTGAGGGGTCCGGGAACCAAGAGGGCACGGGGGGGGCCCAGACGCGGCGCTCACCCACGGGCCGCCTCCAAGCTCTTAATGAGCTTCTTGATCTTCCAGATCTCCACGTTCCTGTCGGCAGCACTGGGGTCGTCCGCCATCTTCTCGCCTCCTCCTCCCTAGAGCGGCCCGGCGGGGCCCGGAGACACCAAGACCACAGAGTTAGCGCCGCCGCTGGGGCAGAGAGGCCCCCTTCCTTGCCACCCCCGAGAGTCCCTCCTCTTCCCGCCCCGCGCGGCCCGCCGCGGTGGTCGCTGGCTTTTCCGTCCCGCTAGCTTACCGAAGGGCCCAGTCCTGGGCGGCAGCGGCTGCTCCTCCCCGGCGGCGGCTCCGCGGCGGCGGCTCTGACGTAGGACACCGGCTCCCTCTCTCCAGGCAGCTGCATGTGTTGCAATCCGCTCACATGGGGCCTGTGACATCACTTCCTCCGCCAGGGGCTGAGTGGAAGTCGGCGGGCGGAAGGGAGGGGGCCTATGAGGAAGAGGGGAAGCTCTGCGCGCACCGAGACTTTCCATTGGCTCTCTCCTCCGTGGCCTACAATGAGCCCGCCGATTGGCCGCAGCTGGGGCCGCGCTGCCTTGTGAGGTAGAAGCCGGGGGCAGGGAAGTACCTCATTTCTTCCGGTCCGGCAAGCCGAGAGCAGGAAGCGAGCGGAAGCAGGTGGCTCTCGCGAGGATTTACTTAGATCCCAGTCTGGCTAGAACGGGGGCGGGGGTGTTTCTTAAAGGGCGAGGGGCTTAGGTCATCGTCCTTTCCGCCCCACCTACTGGAATGGAGTGGACATCTGACGGTCTGCGATGTGCTTTTGCGCTCGGGCCGGGACGCGCAGTTTGAATTGCGTCTGAGAAGCGTCAGTGAAGCGCCTCGCGCTTCTGGGCTTCATAGCTGACAAAGCTCTCGGGCCTGCTTGCGTCACGGCTGCGCGGACTAGGATTCAGACTCTCCGCCAGGGTGTCCGGATTGGGAAACTTCTGAGTAGTCCGGGACCGTGCCACCTGCAGGGACAAAAGAGGCACGTTCCTTTCCACCTAAGTGCTAAGAGGGGTTCACTTTGGACCTGGAACTTTACTGGGGGGAAGAAAGCAGGGGCTGTCTGATGTTGGAGACCTGAGGTATCTGATGCCGTGAATGGTTTGGTCTGAGAGTGGAGGTGGGGAGAGTGTTGAATCAAATGGGCAGTTGTCTTTTTGAGTTAGGAGCGTTCGTTGGCTACTTTATGTCTCTTCACGTCAGCTGGAGTCATTCAGATATTGGGTCCAAATTGCCAGGCCTGGTTTTCTTGAGGATACTGAGAACCAAACAGGTAACAGGGCCTACCTTCGTGGAGCTTTCAGTTGTGTATATAGCCATTTGTGATTTTATACTTGTGAGTAATAAAAAAAATTGCGGAAATACACAAGTACTGCTGTGAGAGTGAAATAAAAGAGGGAGTGAACGCTCTAGAATGAGATCCAAAGGGTGAGTCGGAGTTTGTCAAGAGGGAGCCTAACACATCTGAGGAACTACAAAAGCTAGTGTGCTGAAGCAGGTCAGTAATTTATGTGAGAGATAATTGTACCTTAGACTTAATGCAGAAGATGTGAGTGGTATTTGCAGGTTGGAATGGATTGGATGGGTCGGATGAAGAGGAAGAGCAAGAATGGCTCCCAGAGAATTGCTGAGATAAGGAGCAGGTTGTGGGGGATAATTGAAAATTTCATCTTGTGCTTATTAAATTTGAGATTGCTTATGAGACATGCCAGTGGTGATTCCAGTCAGACAATTGCATTTGTGTGGGCTTTGAATCCTTTTTGTGTGTTATCTCAACATTGTCCATACCTTGGAGATGGAGGTTTTACTCCCATTTAATAGACTGGGAAACTGAGACTAAAAAAAGGTGAAAAGGACTTGCTCAGCAACCTGGTTACCTATGTTTCCATAGGATGAGGACATGGACTTCCTATAGGGCAAGTCTTCTCTCCCCAAGCAAATGAATTCCCAGGATGAAATCTCTTCTTAGGTTCCATTTTGTAATTTTCAGGATATGTTCACTCATTATATATTTATTGTACTTCTACTGTATGCCATTCACTGTGCTTAGTAATGGGTCTCCTTAAGTTGTCATAAACATCGTTTACAGACTGGGTGCTTACCATGTCCCTCTCTTTTCCTTGCTTCATTCCTCTGGTCCCAGTTCTTACTTTCTACACTAGGTTGCCTTGATTCTCTTTCCTGCTCATCTTTATGTTTATGTTTATGTTTATAGTGTTGCTTCACATCCATGTTTGATGGCTTTACAGGCTTTCTAGACTAACTCACAGGCTTGCTTTTTTGTGTGATTCATACTGAAGAAAGCATGGTGATATCCTGGATAGAACTGCTGTTTATTATTGTTTGAATCCTTGAAACTTGGTGATTACCAAGATATGTAGCTTATTTCTTAGAATATTCTAAACCAGGCTGTTTACCTGTAGCCACAAAAGCTTACTTACCTAGTTGCTGCAAATTTACCATCTCTGCACTTAAAGTTGAAAGTCAGTGTGTTAGGAGCTGGCATGGATCTCTAGAAGAAATTTGGGAGCAGTAGAACAGGGATACTATTTGCTTTGGCAAAGAGGAGGCTATTCAAATAGGGCCATGACCATTCAGTGTCCAGGAGGTACCTCGCATAATCTAAGGGTGATACAGATTTTCTCAAATGCAGAATATGTAAGTTCTCTAGGCACAAATTGTCCTCTGAAAAATGAAGGATTTGTTCTGGATGACCTCAGAACTTTTTCCCTAGCTCTAACATTAGGTAATAATGTTGAATATGAGGTATAGATGACATTCCTAGTTAATAGGTGGGGTTATGGGGGAAAGAAGAAGAATGGATTGTTTTGATGTTGAAAACACCAGTAGCAGCTTGAAAACAAAGTGCTGTTAGGTATAGAATGAGATAACTGGTTGCTAATGTTGAGGCCAGTATGAGTAGCCAAAGTGAAGAAGGCAGGGAAGGGATCACTGTGGAAAGATTTGATAACGGCTTTACCCTTTGACTATTCTGGAAGTCAGTGGGGTTGTTAAAGAAAAGAAGTCTGGAGCTAGGAAGCCTTAGGGTTGAGCCTTGACTCTGCTCCTAGAGCAAGTCACTTCTTAAATCTCGGTTAATCTATTTTCTTATGGGTAAAATGGAGATCCTGCCCATTTTGTGAGACTGTTGTTGGATTAAATTATTTGTGTGAAGTTCCTAGTACCATTTACAGCAACCATGTGTCACCAATGAATTTTAGTTCTCTTTTTACTTTCTCCTAATTTGTTCTGTCCTCTTCTACTCTTTTCTATATTCATCTCTTGAGGACCTGTGACGCTACTCACTTCATCATTCTCCAGCAGAAAATAAACTTGAGACAGTAAAGGAAGAACCCAAAGCCCAATTCCTAGGGATTTTTCCCTCCTGGGGGAAGAGGGAGCCAGTAAAATAGGTCTTTGGGATGTTTTTGCTTGCTTCAGTGGCTGGTGTGTTAATGATTGTGAGAAAATCAGAACTTTTCAGAGTTGAAGTTTTAAATAGTAGGTATTTATATCCCTAACTGTATTAGTGAATTTGAGGAATGCAGTTCTGTAGATTCCATCTTTAAATAAAGAAGTCTTACAGCAAGTAAAAGTCAATGAAGAAGACCTAAATTATATGGTATAATATAAAATTCAAAGGATTTAAAATTTGTGTAAACTGACACAGTTGCTTAACTATGTAGTGCAGATGTGTGTGAAAGTGACTTGAAAGCCAGTGTAAGGTGTCACTCCCCTGTGGACACCTAGTGGTAAAATGTAACCCTTCTTTGGGAATTGGGACTACAACTAAGGAGTGACAGCAGTTTCCTCTCTAGATGACCAGACATCTTTACACCAATTTATAGTCTTGTTAAATTAAGCAGATTTGACCATTAAATGCCTTACCCTATAATTATTTCCAACTTTAAGAAAATAATGCATATTAGAGAACTCTTTTTTTTCTCCTTTCAATTCTAGAAAAAAACTTTTTCTTTTTTTAGAATCCCTGTTCTAGAGCACTCATTAGCTGAAGTAGGTCTTCCCATAACACGAATAATTAGCAGGGTGAGATTGAGCCATGCCCTTGGACTACCCTGGGAGGAGGTAATGTTTCCAGTGCTGCGTTTTGACTCTGTAGAGACCCTTGTAGAATACCTAGACAGATGCTAATCTTTTAGTTCAATTCCATGAGTATGTATCATGTACTAGTTTTCTTTCTAGCACTAGGATGATATAGTGCAGTCCTTAAATTTATGGTCTCTTTTAAAAGGGGTAAAAAGATACAGGAATATTAAACATAACAGTATAAAAGGAGAAATAGCTGTTTCTAGGACTGAGGCAGAAATGAACGAAATGACCTTGGAACATCTTGCTATATCAGTAAGAAAGGAAATGAACAAAGACTACTGAGGTCTTAAGAAAAATAATAATTTTAATACCCCAATAGACTTTTTGGTTTCTTATTGAATTATAATTTACACTTAACATCATACTAGTTTCAGATATACAACATGATTCAATATTTGTATATATTGTGAAATGATCGCAATAAGTCTAGTTAAAATCCATCACCATACACAGTTAAGTAATTTTTGTCTTGTGATGAGAACTGTGAAGATTCCCTCTGTTAGCAGCTTTCAGATATGCACTACAGTATTATTAACTCCAGCCACCGTACTATACATTACATCCCCAAGACTTATTTATTTTATAACTGGAAGTTTGTACCTTTTTGACTCCCTTCACCCATTTCGGTCACCCCCAACCACACCTACCCCATCCCTACCTTTGACAACCACCAATCTGTTCTCTGTATATATGAGCTTTTTTTTTTTTTAGACTCCATATAAAAGTGAGATGATATGGTATTTGTCTTTCTGTGTCTGATTAGCATAATGCCCTCAGGTCCATCCATGTTATCACAAACAGCAAGAATTTTTTTTTTAATGGCTGTATTCCATTGTATATATACACTAGATCTTTTTTATCTGTTCATGCATTGATGGATACTTAGGTTGTTTATATATCTTGGCTACTGTAAATAATGCTATAGTGAATATGGGGGTGCATATATCTTTTCAGATTATGTTTTTATTTTCTTTGGATGAACAGCCAGAAATGGAATTTCTGGATCCAATGGTAGTTCTATTTTTAATTTTTTAAGGAACCTCCGCACTCTTTTCCATAGTAATTGCACCAATTTACATTCCCACTTATACTGCAGAAGGGTTCCCTTTTCTCCACATCTATGCCAACACTCCTTATTTCTTTTATGTAGTAGCTATTCTAACAGGTGTGAGGTAATACCTCATTGTGGTTTCAATTTATATTTCCCTGTTGACTAGTGATGTTTAACAACTTTTCATGCACCTGTTGACCATCTGTCTGTCTTTGGAAAAATGTCCGTGTTCAGGTCTTCTGCCTAGTTTTTGATCGGATTGTTTATTGTTTTGCTATTGAGTTGTGTTTCTTTATATATTTTGGATACTAATCCCTTATCAGATGCATGATTTGCACATATTTTCCCCCACTTGATAGGTTTCTTTTTCATTTTGTTGATGGTTTCTTTTGCTTTGCAGAAGTTTTTTAATTTGATACAGTCCCCTTTGTTATTTTTGCTGTTGCTATTTTTGCTCTTAATGTGAAATCCAAGACTGATGTCAAGGAGCTTACTGCTTATATTATCTTCTTTAAGTTTTATGGTTTTAGGTCTTATGTGAATGTAAGTCTTTAATCCATTTTGAGTTAATTTTTGTGTATGGTATAAGATAGTGTTCCATTTTCACTCTTTTGCATGTGGCTGTCCAGTTTTCCCCATGCTGTTTATTGAAGAGACTGTCCTTGACTACTGAGGTCTTGCCAAAGTTAAGGGCCAGTAGAAAGAGGCTCCCATAGGGCAAAGTTAAAACAATTTGAGCATCAGTAAGAACAATTGCAATGAATTGAAACACATAAAATAAGTTAGAATCCATGAGTTCACAGAGACACCCAAGAAATCTCATTGGTCTCACCTTTGATTAGTACAACACAACTAACTCATTCTAAAAACCAGTACATAAGGAAGCTTTCCCTGTATGAGCTGTATCTCAGGGTAACTAGTTACTTGTTAAGAGGGTAAGTTTCTTACCTCTTATAGAGGAATTCCAACTAAAACATGAAGAAAAGATAGAAGTACAATAGTATACCTTTAATGAAATTAGAGATCCAAGTAATGATCATCAGTGACTGGTTAACATCACAAAAGAGCCAACAAGAATTATGTACCTTCTGATCAAAGTACACAGCACCTAATCTTGTAAGAAAGCTGAAGCTGAATCAGTCAAGTGGGGTTGGAAGAACATGTTGAATGGCATCACAGGGATGCAATCATTACAGTGTAGGTGGTTACTGGACAAGTGGCACAGTTTCTAAACAAATAGCAAAGTTGGGGGAAAAGAGACAGGGAAACCTATAGTTTAAAAGAGACATATCAACCAATATAGGGTGTGGCCTTTATTGGTTCCTGACTAACAGTTCAGAAAGTTAAGAAACAATTGGGGAAATTTGAACATTCAAGTTTTTGCTATTAATTTTTTTAGATGTGATCGTGATATTGTTATTTTATAGAATAATCTTTTTAGAGGTATATACTGAAATGTTAGAGAAAATTACGATTTCTGGAATTTGCTTCAAAATAATCCAAGGGAAGATGGGGGAAAATACAATAAAAGCTATACTAAGTTGCTGAGTTGAACATTCAAAAATTGAAAAATAAAAGGATGTTAAGAATTTGAGTGAAACTACCAGTGTGGAAAGGCAAGAAATGGGAAGGCTTCATAGAAGGTAGACCAAGGATACCTAAGAAATGGGAAGGCAAGACTGAGAAAACAGCCACTGGAAAGGGGGACACAGACCAGGGAGGTATGACTTGAATTTAAGCAGTTAGACTGGTAGCTCCTCACCCAGGGAGTAAAGACTTGGGGCAGCGGTGATAGGGAGTGGGGAGTCCACATGATTTTAGGGGGTCTGTATGCCACTATAAAATGCAAAATTGGGAATATTATTTTTTCTGGGGAAATGGTGCATTGCTTTTACTAATTTCTTGAAGGACTCTTGTGACCAAAAAAGGGTAAAGAACCAGAGATTTCCTAAATGGGAAATCAATCTATCTTACCAGTCTAATTGCTTAAGAACTTATGATTTCGGTGGAACATTTTATTTTCCTGTTTCCTGTTATCTCAGAGTTGAGGCTTGTAATTATTAAGGCTGGTTCAGATACAGTCTTCTCTTCAGTGTGAAGATAGATTTCTGTTTCCTGACCTACTGCAGCAGAGATGGGTGTGCTGATGGTGCATTGTATGACGTTTAATCATACAAAATTGCTGGCATTTGACTGTTTTTGACCTACTGAAATGGTGTTTAGATGTTTTTTCCGTAACTGCTAAGTTATCTCCATGCTGTTCACAGACTGAGTAATGTAGGTCACATTATAGTCTTCTATCTAGGGCTTTCACTCATTTCATTGTACTTCTGAGACTAGAGGGCAGGAAAGAATACATAGGCCTTACAAAGCAGCCTTGGGACTGGAGAATGAAGTCACAATGGTGTTTGAAATAGTGAAGGGTCTTTGCTTGAAGCAGTTTATTTTAAAAATTTGTGTTGTCTCTTTGCTTCCATTCTGCTTTTCTCTTGACTGCTCCTTCTTGCTATAGAATCTCTAGTATAAATGTTATACTTAAGCTGCTCTCCCTTCTGAGTGAGGCAGACCGCACTCTTAAACTCAACACCAATTCCCACACCTCGTGGCCTTTCTCTTGCCTTCTGAAACAGCCTGCCCTGTCTATGGCGTATGTATCCTCTCTGAATAAATCTTTTACTAAAAAAAAAAGTTATACTTAAAATTAAGCCACACCCAAAGATTACTTATTAAAGGTATCTTAATAATGAAGACGTGGAACAAAGCATAGAATTGACATCTTGTTCTCCCTGTTGGTTGATGCACTGATAAAGACACAACACCTATGTGGTGTTCCTACCAATAATGACTGGACATAAGGAAATCATCAGACGAATCCAAACAAAGGGCCATTCTGTAAAACAAATGGCCTGTACCCTTCAAAAATGTCAAAATCATGAAAAGACAAAAAAGGCAAAGGAACTATTCTTAGTAAAAAGAACAGCTAAATGCCATGTGTAATCTTTGATTTGACCGTGGATGAAAAAGTTATTTAGGCAACGAGAAAAATGTTAACATAGACTATATATAATAGTATATCTGTGCTAAATTTCTTGATTTTAATAGTTGTGGGGAGAATGTTCTGTTCTTATGAGTGCTGAGATATTTAGGTTGAAGTGTCTTATGTTAAGAAAACAAATATATGTATGGAGAGGGAGTACATGAGTGTGAAAGTGCAGATGTTGCAAAATGCTAATTGAATCTTGGTGAAAGGTGTTTGTATGTGTCTAGACTTTCTAAGAATGGGTTAGAAATAAAAAGTTGAGGAAAAAATCAACCCTACTTGGGCAAATAGCAACATAAATTTTTTTTAAGATCACATAGAAGATGAGTCAACATCAGAATTGGACTTTATACCTAGGAAGTTTAAAAGAAAGCTGCAAATTTATTCTGGTTACTCCTATTCCCCAGGATACCTCAAGCCACATTTTCAGTCCTCTAAACATTACTATTAATTTCCCCTTGAATTCTTTTTCTAATTAATATTTTTAAAAATCTTTAACCAGTTAAGTTCTAGATTCCAGGTTTGGTTTGTTGCCCCTAGTACTCTTGACAGATGAAGAGTACAATTTACACATAAACTTCAAAAATAAGACCTTTATCTTTAAAATGTAGAAACTAAACCAGAGTTTCGGAGTGGGAGAGATCGATTGATTTGACAAACAATTTGAGCGCTTATGTGCCAGGCATTTTTCTAGTAACTGGGAAACAGCAGTGAGCAAAAAAAAGTCTTTGGCCTCCTGAAACTTACATTCTGGTGGGTGTCTCAGTCCATTCTGGCTGCTGTAACAAAATAACAGACTAGGTATGTTATAAACAAAGTTTATTTCTTGCAGTTCTGAGGCTTATGTCTGAGATGGTGCCAGCATGGTCAAGTGAAGGCCCTCTTCCAGGTCACAGACTTCGTGTGTCCTCATGTGGCGAAAGGGGATCATGGATCTCTGGATCCTCTTTTGTAATGGCACTGCTCCCATTCATGAGGGCTCCATCCTCATGACCTACCACCTTCCAAAGGCCCTACCTCCTAACAGCATCACCTTAAGAGTTAGGATTTCAGCATATGGAATTGGGATGGAGGGGCGGTTGAACATTAAAAACTCAGACCATAGCAGTGGGGGGAGAACAAATTAGGTGGTTAATAATTGTTATGGAGGGGAGGGTAAGGATACGAAATGACAAGAACCTGACAGAGACAGCTGTTTTATGTTTCACATCCTTAGGAAAAAAATGAGGGATGAGTCAAGTGGAAATCTGGGGAAAGACTGTCCCAGCAATGTGGAAGTGTAGTTGGAAGGAGAAAGGTAGTGAAGCCTGTAGGCTTAGGGAAGAGCTTTGGGCAGGTAAAGTGATAATGACTGCTAACTGTTGTGGGAAAACACTGAAGTTGCAAGGGTGTAGTTTTTAACTGGGGAAGACTACTTGGGGGAATAATCCAAGTTTTCCTTTTCAAACCTATCAAGCATTTGTCACCACGAAAGGAAGAATGCACCTGAATTTAAATTCGGTTTTGCCTTTCAAGGCTGTGCTAAGTTTTATTGCTAGGTAACTGCTATGTATATTACACACGGGGCAGCTTGAGACAGTATCTGTGGGTGTCTACCCAAGTAGCTCTTCTTCCACCTTCCTAATAGAACCTATTTGTTCAGGGGATGCCTGGTTCCCTCCTCTCACTGATCTCAAGGATGAATCTTGAATGATATAAGCCAATAGTTCTTAACTGGGGTGCTTTAAATGCTTGAGGGGCTCAGTTATCATAATTGGTTAACACTAGAAGCATTTAGTGGGCAAGGGCCTACCAGAGATGCTAATTATCTTCCCCAGCATGCCCTAGAACAGTCCTTCATAAAGAATCACTGCACATCCCACAGGGTTCCCACCAAGTGTTCATGTGGCTGAAACTTCAGCCTAGCATTTTTCACATGAATCACAAGAAGTTTTTAAATGAGTGTTGACTACTTGTTTTCTAAAAATGTAATTATGTAAATAATCTCCCTAATTTCTAAGAGGTAAATTTAAAGAAATAAACTTTTAAGAAATAATGCTTAGTCACCTTTCTGGTTCTGAAGTTAGTGTGTGATACTTAAGAACCACATGAGAATTTATGACAAAGCAGCTCACTAATGATGAGAAAGCAGAAGTACAGAATCTGGGTTCCTGATAACGAGCCGCTGAAATCATACCTTAGGACTTAATACTAGACATGTTTCATCATAAGCCAATCCTGGTTAGACTTTTAGAGCACAAAGTGGCTTGAAAACATGAGGCCTGGTTTTCAACATTCCAAACCTAAGATGGGGCTAGAAAGGAAAAGAAAACCCTCCTGAACCAAACTTATCCTTAGTGATACTTATTAAATTTTGAATTTGTCTGTATTTTTAGCCAGTTAGAAAAATCCCACTTGACTCTAGGTCAGAAACTGGGAAATGTGATTCATGCCATTGTTCTGGAAGCTGAATCTCAGGGCTTCAATCCTTACCAACAAGAGATCAAGATGCTTTTCATATTTATTTATTTTTTAAAAAATCCAGAATGGATCAAAAAGAACAATCATTAAGGATACAGATACCAGACATAGGCCAAAGGGTAGCTAGAAAAGTATGCCATAGGAAAGTGGGAGCCTTTTGTTTTAAAAGCTAGACCTAACATAAATAGCAGCTAGTTTAGTTTTCCATTAATCTAGCTTACCCTGCCCTAACTCCCAACATGGCACAGCTGACTTGCCTTGCAGGGACTCAGCTGAAGAATCCCTTATACACACAGGCTGGTACAGCAAGTACTCAGCTAACTAGATGGATCTCATCCCACTGTGGTCTTATTCCAGGTCTATGCTTGACTACCTTCATTGTGTGTGAGATGGTTTCACCTCTTGAAAATATGGCTACTTCAGCACAGAACAAGGTTAAATCTTTCTAATGATCAATAAATCATCTTCCCCTCCATTTACATGCAGCTGAAAAATAGTGACAGGCTAGGAACAGAACACTGTGAACTTTGTACTGTTGGGATTGTCACTCATTAAATGATCACTAATGGTCACTAAATTTACATATTAAGGAAATTATATATAGAATACTGCAAAAACACAGTAAAAGTCTGAAGTTTGCCCATTTCTGCTCAGGAAATCCCTTCACTCCCAAGCATAACATGTTGTTCAACTCCAAAGTTTACTGCTGTTACTGTTTCTCCTCCTTTTGATTTTCCTTTTGTTCCCCAGTGCCAGAACTTCCAGAGCCCTCTCGCTCAGATGCCATCTGTAAGAAAACATGTGAGAGCCACTCATACAATGTTAAAGCTGACAGTTTGCTCTCTGATGCATTAAAAATCAAAGAGCCATATCCTGCCTATTCCACTCTCCCTCCCCTTTCCTTGTACACTGTTGGTAGTTTCAGAGATTCCTTCCCTTTGACCTCACCCTCCCAAAGCAGAGTAAAGAAAGCAGGAAGGATATTTCCAACTCCCACACTCCCACTTCTATAAATGGCTGTGCAGTAGCCATCAGTGACAATAATCCATAGCAGTTACATCAAGTTAGGAGCAAAATACTCATTGAGGAAGAACACCTTTGTACCTTTTTGTATGCCATTTCAAAGAGTTTCAATGACGCTTGCTGAAGGGAAGATGCTGCCTGCCTTATGTTTTCTCCTGTTTCACTATCTTTTCGAGCCAGGAGTTCCCTCATTTTGGAAATCTCTTCTTTTAGCTTGTTGCACTTAAAAACAAAACAAAGCCAGACTCACTTTATCTGGGTTTCTTTTTCCATAACACACAGCAAAACATTCAAAAATGTTTTTTTAAAAACTAAATTCCTATTAATACCCACACAGAAAAACAAATTTCACTGGCACTGGTAACATTGCCTCTCAACTTCTCGAGCTATTTTAAGAGTTTACCTCATCAGCAGGCAATTGGTCCTTGAATTCTTCCATCTTGGTTTCTGTGTCATGAATGATTCCTTCAGCCATATTAACTGCTTCAACTCGTTCCTAAGAGAATTTTAAAATGTAGTATGAAGGGGGAGGGTATAGCTCTGTGGTAGAGTGCATGCTTAGCATGCACGAATTCCTGGGTTCAATCCCCAGTACCTACATTAAAGTAAATAAATAAACCTAATTACCCTAGCAATGTAGTATGAATAAAGACTTCCAATCAACCAGTTGACTGAATGTCCTCAGTAGTATACATGGTAACATACTAAGTATACATAGTAACTCACTAATTTGCATAGTTACAGAGTAAAAACAGCAAGAGGGAGAAATCACTGTCTGGGATGTCTTTTAAAGGACTTTAGATTCTGTAACATAAAAATTTTGATATGGGAAGACTGAGAATAAGTAAGATAGAATTCCACACTTAAGTGAGCCAGGTAATCACCTTCTTTCGCCGGTCTTCCTCAGCATACTTCTCTGCATTTTTAACCATATTTTCAATATCATCTTTGCTTAAACCACCAGAAGACTGGATCACAACTGTAGTGAAAAGAAGACACCTCATTATTTCCCAGGTAAAATTATATACCTCCTCCTCTTCTTAAGAAAAAAAATCCTCCTGCTCAGGGTAGCCAATTTTGATAATGATTATGAAGAGGAATATCCTGTTGTCCTATAATAAGGGGAAGGAAACCAAGAGCCTGAAATATACAAAGACCAATTGTCCTGCCTACCAAAACTTCAGCAGTCGAGAGGCTTGGTGCTTGCCTGTTTTGGGGAACAAACACACTTGTTAATATGACTCATAACCTAGGAGAAAGGGGGCAAGAGGACTCATCCTCCTCCCCTGAGGCTAGGGGAAAGAGATGCACAACAAAAGGGTCTAACTGCCCACAGAGAGGAACTCTGAAGTCCCTCACCTCACTCTTACAGTCCGATAAATAAGACCACTTACTCTGCTGCTCGCGTCCTGTACCCTTATCTTTGGCAGAAACATGCACAATCCCATTGGCATCAATGTCAAATGTAACTTCAATCTGAGGGACTCCACGAGGGGCTGGAGGAATTCCAATCTAGGATAAATACCAGAGTAAGCTCTTCTCACAAAGGGGTCCAGTGCTCCATTTCCAAAACCTATATGGTCTTCTGGGGAACAAATTACTTGGGAAGGAACAAGTGAAACCTTCACTTAATTAAATGTACAAAAACACAAGTTTGTAAGTGAGGGCAGTAGTTTCACTGCTGCCTGAAATAAACAGAACTCATACCAGTGAAGGTTGACTATATAGCAAGTAACCATAATGGCTGCATGTACCGGAGGAGACAGAGTGAATGAGAGCAAACCTCTCTATCGTTGTTCATCTTACCAAGAAGCAACAAGCAATGCTGACAGAAACCAGTAACATCATCAAATGTCTTTAAAAGTAGTAATGAGAAATTTCTTCAAATAAGCACTGTTTATGAACTATGTTAAGACAGCTTTGTCTATCAGTAGTTTATGGTAATGTTAGGAAATGGAGTAATCTAACTTTACTATGAAAAGAATGAGAAGCATAATCAGGACTCCTAATACCTACCAAAGTAAACTGTCCAAGAAGTTTGTTGTCTCCAGCCATCTCTCTCTCACCCTGACACACTTTAATCTCCACTTGAGTCTGTCCATCAGCAGCTGTAGAAAACACCTAGGGAGAAGGAAACTTCCTGAGTTGGCAGCCTGATTAAACTACTCTCCGTTGCAAAGTGCAAACCAAAGGAAGAAATTCACATCCCGACTATGGAAGAGTGCTAATGTACACCATGTTCAGAACAAAGGCTTAATGTCTTTACAGAGGACAGGAGTAGGATTAGCACAGCCAGAGGGCATACAATAGCTATTGTTTCAGCTAAGCAGATGCATTGTACAAAGATGCAGCATTAGCACAGAAGGCCTCAAGAGAAGAAGCTATAAAAAGATGTTGAAATATGCTCATCCAGGGAAATGGGTCAGAGACAGGACATGTATTTTGGGCTCACAGTAACGAAATAGCCATACTTTTCTTCAGAATGGCAATATATCATTGCACCAACATAGCAATAACTATAATTGGGGGGGGATGATGTAAAAATTGGGAAAGTTAGGAAATAATTCTTAATCCAAGGCCAAGCTATTTTCCAAATACCACTAGCCTGGTATCTCAGAACTCCTATCATTCACTAGGAAGACAAGCATACTCCCCTAGGTCTCAGCCAAGCCATTCTTTTCACTGCCTTTGAGAACAATCAGGAATTTAGTCTCAAATGATGAGGCTCTTTTTGGCAAATCATTACAATCCTGTGAAGGAGATACTATTGGGAAAGCTCACAGAAGTGGCTGTGATCACGTCACTCACAGAACCAAGTGTATCTGTGACGAGGTAAGGAGGGGCAACTCTTACCTGGCTCTTCTTAGTTGGAATAGTGGTGTTCCTGTTAATAAGTTTGGTGAAGACACCTCCCAGAGTCTCAATACCCAGAGACAAGGGAGTGACATCTAGGAGCAGCACATCTGTGACATCACCAGCCAGAACTCCTCCCTGAATGGCTGCTCCAATGGCCACAGCCTCATCAGGATTGACAGCTTTACTTGGGGCTCGGCCAAAGAGATCCTGCACAGTCTGCTGAACCTGAGCACCAAGAAAAAAGAATTTTGTCACCCACTACTTAGAGCAATTGCCTGAGAAGGGAGGAACAGCAGATGTGTCCCAAGATCCCACCAAATCTCAGGACAGGTTGCTTCAGATCCAGTGTTTACTCAAATTACTATTTTGTAGTTGATTTCTTGTCAATGAGTTAAGTACATCGTGTGGGTAACATACTTAACTAGTATCTCATTTATAATCCTTTTAAATTTGGGAACAATTGGTATAAGTTTTGTTATCTGGTTTCCCAAACAGTGCTCTAAATTAGAAATAGGAGGTACAAGGCAAGGGAACTTAAATTCTTATGGTTCAGGTACTTTACTACATATCAACTAAAAATCAACTTAAAAGAAGCAGTATTAATTCCATAATTCAATACTGGTGCTAATGTGGTACGTTTCCCCTCCTGCTTATTTCCCTAGTGCTAGGAAAAGGTGCTATTTGAATAACACCTAGGTTAATTGTT